TGCTTGCCTCCCATGCACAAAGCCCTGGATTCAATCCCCAGCACCACAAAACAAAACTATGACTTTGACTTCGTAATGCCGCTTTCAGTCAAGCAGCATTACAAACTAAGTCAAAGTCATAATGTCTTCTGAAAAATTTTAAAAAATTACACTGTAGTTAAGTTATACATCCTATTAAAATCTTTTATAGAGTGTTGTGAGAATTTATTTTCTATTTCTAACCATCCATATTTAGAGAATACAGTAAATTAAACAAGCACAAACCATACACAAAAAGCAAGAATCCCAAAATGAGGGAGTTAAAGGTAGATAACAGATGAGAATATAGGACTAGTTAAAGGTGAGAACTTATTAAAATAAAACCTCAAAAGAASATGGTTTAACTAGGATATGTGGGGAGGGGAAGCAGATGAAATAGAAGTCACAAGGGCTAGAACTGACCTTATGACCCTTTATCACCAAATATTTAGAAGGTACTTCAACTGAAAATGTAAAGGTTGTATCCAACAGTTATAATAATGATCAAATAAAAGCAGATTTAGCACTCAGTAAAAGATAACTAACAATGGACTTTCCAGTTATTCTTATAGGTTATAACATACCATTAATAGCAACATCTCTGCAAATAAACACTTTAAAAAAGAAAAGCAACCTAAAAAACCATATTACAATAGCATCAAAAAAATAAAAGTGGGGGCTGGGGTTGTGGCTCAACGTTACAACGCTCACCTAGCATTTKCGAGGCACTGGGTTCAATCCTCAGCACCATATAAAAATAAATAAATAAAGCTATTGTGTCCAACTACAACTAAAAAATATTTTTTAAAAAGTGTACTTAGGAATAACACAAACATGTATGATCTCCACATAGACACTTTGGAAATTTAAAGATAGCAATAAATAGAAGCTAAATGGACTAGCAGACTCATTACTATAAAACCATCCATTTTCACCCACACTCAAGATTTAATTCCAATCAAATTCTAAATATACACGTGGGGGGTTATAGAACTTGAGTTATAAAATTACGAATTATAAAATTCACAAAGAATTCCAATTGCCAAAAACAGCCACGATTATAAAAACTGAGGTGATAAACCTTACTCCACCAGATACTAAGATGTATTATAAAATCTACAGAAATTAAGATAATAATTGATATATGGATAGAAAAACATACAAAAGAGAGAAAACCCAGAAACCAAGTATAGAAGGTCACATGATTCTGAATTATGACAGAGCAGAATGGTCACTTTAAACAGTGCTTACAGAGTACCCTGTGAGGAAAAACTTAAAATTTACTTCTATATAGTATAGTAGAAGGATTGCAGATGTAAATGTGAAGGCAAAACAATAATGCTTTTAGGATATACATACATTTCATGATCTAACATTGAGAGATTGCTTGACCAAGATAAAAACATCAACCATAGAAGAATGAACTTCAAATTCATTACAATTAAAACACACACACACACACACACACACACACACACACACAACCTTCTTTTAAAGATAAAGCAGTGACTAGTAACCTACTTAAAAATTTATTCTGGACAATCTTAGAACTGAAAATGTTAACATTTTTAAAATGCCATACAATATCATACAAAGAAAAAGAGGCAATATAGATCCTATGTGGCCCATAAAGCCTAATATATTCCTATAAAAGCCTACCAACTTTCTATACTAAACAACTTGCAATCAAAAAAGGTCGTGAGACCAAAATATATTAATACAATATATGATGTCCAATACAGAAAGAAAATTTCACAACACTAAACATTTACACACAAGTAATAACATACAACAAAAACACCATACTGTTAGGCTAGAGTTTAAAGACACCAAGATGACAGACACAAAATATAAGAAAGAAGCAGATGGGGCTCAAGGGAGGGAGCAGAGTCCAGTCGCTGGTTACAATAAACCCCATTACCATGACAACTTCCGCCACAGGTTGCAATTTTAAAATGACCAATGGGGATACAGTAGAAGGGATTCTAATTAGGTTTTCTGAAGTAACCAATGGGGGTAAAATTGGAAAATATTCTAATCGGGTATCATAAGGTAACCAATGAGAACAAATAGGGGAAGATCATCTTCTATCAGGTCAGTAAAGGGAAGAGATTGCTCCACAGTTTAGCATATAAGGCCCCTTATTTCCAGACGTTGGGTCCTTGAGCATCTCTTCACTGRGCCAATCCATTCTGAGTGCTATATTCACTTTCAATAAATCTATGTTTCACTATTACTTCTGTGTGTCTTCCTCAAATTCTTTGTTCAGGACACCAAGAACCTGGACTTCAACTGGATAGCCCAATGGTAACAGTATTTCATGGCATAATCATTGTCACCATATTAACATATATTCATGAATATTTGGAACACCTAATCTTGCATTAAGGGCAGTTTAGTAATAAATTATTTTTAGGTTAATACAGGCACAGTTCGTTCTCTCTCTCTCTAACAAAGGGCTTCCCATAATGGTCACATCCCACTTTTGGGGGGGTGGGCCTGCAATGATTCGGTAGTAAAATGTGGCATATGAAGGAAAAAAAGACAGAACTGGAGACAGAAACAGCTGGATGCCTCAATGTCCCACTCACAATAATGGACAGGACAACCAAAAAGTAAAGAAATAAGAGTATTTGAACAATATAATTGATCAACTAATTCTAACACACATATGAAGAACACTTACCCAACAAAAGAATATGCATTCTTCTCAAGTGCACCTGGGACATTCTCCAGGATATATTAAACAACAAATTAAATCTCAATAGCTTTTAACCAGATGTGGTGGTACACATGCTAATCCTAGAGACTCAGAGAGACAGAAGGATTGCTAGGAGGCCAGCCTCAGCAATTTAGCCAGATTCTGGGACTGGGGATGTAGCTCAGTGGTTAAGTGCCCCTGAACTCAATTCTCAGTACCAACACTCACACACACACACACAAAAAAAAAAGCTCAATAGCTTTTAAAAGATACCCAAGTATTTTTTCCAACCATAACAAGACAAAGTTAGAAATTAATAACAAAGAAAATAAGAAATTCACAAATTTGTGGAAATTAAAATAACAGATCAAAGAAGAATTCTTAACTGAAGTTAGGGAGCAGATGAATGAAAACAGAAACATACCAAAACTTATGGAATGCAACAAAAATAGAATTAAAGTGGAAATTTATAGCTATAAATGCTTATATTAAAAAACAGAGCTTAGGCGCTAGTTTAGCGTGCATGAGGCACTAAGTTCGATCCTCAGCATCACATAAAAATAATATAAAGATATTGTGTCCACCTACAACTAAAAAGTAAAAAAAAAAAAAAACAGAGCTCAAGAGGCTGAGGCAGGAGGATCAGGAGTTCAAAACCAGCCTCAACAATCTAAGCAACTCAATGAGGCCCTATCTCTAAATACAAAAAAGGCTGAGGGTTCGGCTCAGTGGTTAAGTTCTCCATACCAAACACACACACACACACACACACACACACACACACACACACACACACACAATCAATCAATCAATAAATAAATAAAATATAAACAGAGCTTAAATTAACCTAACTTCACTATTTAAAGAGCTAGAAGAACAATCTTAAAGTTAGCAGAAGGAGGGAACTAAAAGAGCAGAGGATAAATAAATGAAAGAGATTAGAAAAATCAAAAAGGACTAACAAAATAGATAAATCTTTATCTAGACTAAGAAAAAACACAAAAAATTTTTAAGTTACTAAAATGAGAAATGGAAGGAAACATTACTATCAATTCTACACAAATAAAAAAATTATAAGAGGGTCTATTAACACTTGTACACTAACAAACTAGATAACACAAATGAAATGAACTAA